GAGGAGGACGTGCGACGGGGCGTGCTAGGGGACGTGTCTGGCGCCGCGTAAGGGGGGCGCGCTGGGTGGCGCGTCGGGGGGGGGCGGGCATGCCAGGGTGGGGTGGGGTGGGAATCGGAGGCAACCTGCTGTCGTGCCGCAGGAGGGCTGGGTCGGCTGTCTCTGCCAGGCCCGAGCGGGCGTGTTTCGTCGGGGGGCTGCTGGCCCACAGGTCGAGGAGGAGGAGGAGGAGGAGGAGGAGGAGGAGGAGGAGGTGGACCGAAACTCTAAAACGTACAAGAGGATGTGGAAGCGGAAATGGAGGAACATGCATTTTCCTTCTGCATCCGTGGCAATGCAGGCCACCATGAGCCATGCAAAGATGGCCTCATCGCCCTGGTCTGAAAAAAAATAACGTAACTCACGCGCAATATCATCACGCAATTTACGTTTTTTTTGTTCTCTCTCTCTCTCTCTTTCTCTCGCGTTATTCATTCGGCCAGCCAAAAGAGGATAATGAAGATGAGTTCCCCAATCTCGGAGGTGGACGGGAAAGACCGGTGGGGGATAGGATGGTATGGCATGTGGAAAGGGAGTCGGGCTGTGGAGGTCGCCAGGGGGAAAGGCATACGAAGGAGGGAAGGAGGACGTTGGGAAATGGGACGCGCCCCTCCTCTGCCCAACGTCCTCAGGAGGGCCCTGCACCGCCACTCCAACAAAGACGCTGACACGTCACCGCCTCCTTCTCTCTCCTCCGCCTCCTTCTCCTCCTCCTCCTGCTCCTCCTCCTCCTGCTCCTCCTTCTCCTCCTCCTCCAACTCCTCCTCGGGTCCTCCTGCGCCTCGCTTGATCTTCACTCCTCACTCCCCCGTGCTCCTCCTGCTCCTGCTCCTGCTCCCGCTGATGCCCCTGCTCCTGGTCCTGATCCAGGTCCTGGTCCTGCTGCTCCTCCTGCTCCTCTTCCTCCTCCTCCTCCTCCTCCTCCTCCATTTTCCTCCTCCTCCTCCTCCTCCTCCATTTTTCTCCCTCCCTTCCTCCCTCCTGCCTCTCCCGCCCCTCCCTCTGGCCCACCCCCCCAAGCGATCGTCTGCCCACCTGCTCCAGCTGGCGCCGCGGGGGCTTCCGCTGCGCGCTCTCCTGGCGAGGTCGCCAAGGCTGGTGAGGAGGAGGATAATGAGGAGGAGGAGGAGGATAATGAGGAGGAGGAGGATAATAATGAGGAGGAGGAGGAGGAGGAGGAGGAGGAGGAGGAGGAGGGAGGAGGAGGAGGAGGATGAGGAGAAGAAGAGGGAGCGAATTGTGGAGGAGGAGGGGAGGGTGGGGGGGGAGGAGGATGGAGGAGGAGGAGGAGGAGGAGTGGAGGAGGAGAAGGATGAGGAGGAGAGGAGGAGGAGGAGAGGAGGGGGAGGAGGAGGATGGGAGGAGGAGGAGGGGAGGAGGAGGACGAGGCGGTGAGGAGAGTCAGGCAAACAGGAGGAGGAGGAGGAGGAGGAAAACACAGAGGATGATGACGATGATGATGAGGATGATGATGACTGTGATGATGATGTTGATGCTGATGCTGATGCTGATGCTGATGCTGATGATGATGATGATGATGATGATGATGATGATGATGATGATGATGATGATGATGATGATGATGATGATGATGATGATGATGATGATGATGATGATGATGATGATGATGATGATGATGATGATGATGATGATGATGATGATGATGATGATGATGATGATGATGATGATGATGATGATGATGATGATGATGATGATGATGATGATGATGATGATGATGATGATGATGATGATGATGATGATGATGATGATGATGATGATGATGATGATGATGATGATGATGATGATGATGATGATGATGATGATGATGATGATGATGATGATGATGATGATGATTGTCGTGATTACCGTCGACGATGTTGTGCTGTGCTGCGCTCGTCCGTCGAGCATGATGGCGCCAGCCCGTGCTGGCGAGAGTGTCTGCCGCGCTCTCTGCACAAAAGAGGGGGCCCCCTCCTCGATCCCATACAGCCGCGGAGGCGGCGGCAAGAGAGAGAGAGAGAGAGGAAGGAGAGGTTGACTCAAAACTTCGCTCGAGTCGCCTCGGCTCGACATGAGCCTAAAATCCTTCTCAACCGTTCCGACCGAACTGGATCAAAAGAGGGGCCCTGCACAGTACAACTATGGAAAAGGAATGATGAGAATGAGCCCGACACTACCCTCAAGATAGGTCGAGAAAAGCTAAAGCGTCGGCGGCCTCGGCTTCAGCGTCCGTAGGCGGCTGCGGCTTGTCCTGAGCGAGTTTGTTAGCTCGCTGTCGTTTCCTGGCTGACATGGAATCCTCGTCGTACCTGATGATCCAGGTGCGCCGGGCAAGCCACAGAGCCAGAGGCTTCCTTGCCTCGGGACTGTCCTTCGTGAGGCCGTCGGTGAGGTTGAGGTCCGAGGGTACCCATACCAGGTGCTGGTTCTTCTCGGGCCCGCAGTTCGCCTTCACATGCAAAACCTCCACGCCGGTCCTCGCGTCGCTCAGGCCTATGCCGAAGCTCTCCTTGTTGTGAACTGAGTCATAAACTCCCCGACTGTCGATCACCAGCACAGAAGTCATGGATTGCGCCACTTCCTCCTGGGTGTGCGCGGTAACTGGAACTCCGTGCATGACTGACCACAGCATGCGCATCAGGTACGCGGCGTTCTCTCCGTCGTACAGGGCCTGGCCCTCGCAGCCGTTGGTGCC